TTTATTCTACTCAGTGGAAAGGCTCTTTGAGGCGCGAACGTGGGCGTGTGCTTGTGACGTCACAGTGGCGGAGATGAGGGGGGAGGCGACAACGCGCGATGGACAGTGTTGCTGCAAATCCTGACGCGATGCCTACTGCTACCTAACCACAGCAACCTAACAACACCGTATAATAGAGCTGGTAAGACAAGAAGTGGAAGAATCAATAACAAGGCCTACTATGGTCAACTTCCTTGTTCGTGCTATTTCTCCTCAGGGTTTACAACTAAGGCCAGTTCGCCATACGTTCTCGAAAAAGTTCGCTCTTTAGTTTGGAATGTAATCTATAAGTGATGCGATCGTTTTACTCCTTCCGGCTGCAGTGATTGGATGAGTGCAGATGATAAGACCACATAAAAGCGAAGTGGTGAGAGGTTCTTTCGGAAGTGGCGATTCAGTCATTACCTACTAGGTCATATCATAACCAATTTTTCCTTCCGCTACTGAGGAATGTGCATTTCTTCAAAGCTCATTTCCTGCCTTACTTTTCTTGATCTTTTTCTTGTTTACCACTTCTCGTTGACTAACACCAACGTACCAGACGTGCCAAAAGCTAATTCGATTCCCTTGGTCGTAAATATGATTTCATGTTTTTAGATTGTTATACGCATTTCTTCCGTGTACGCATGCAGTAAGCGACGATAGGCAGCAGCGTTCAGTTTCGCTCATCTTCCTCCCTGGAGCTTCCCACTTCACCCAGTAAAACCTCTTTTTTGATCTTTGACAAGGAGAGATGTCTTTTCATCAAAGCTGAAATGTTAAGGTAATTCGACTTTGATGAATAATTCAGGACAATTCAAGGAAAGCCTGGCAGTCACCATTGTTGAAACAATCCTCATCGGCACGGTCAGTACATCGCTGGCTTAATCAAAATCCGAGTCGAATAGACTCAAAGCACTCGTACGAGAGTTGGGTTGCAGGGTAGGGTATCAATATTTTAAGCTAGTGGAATCATTTCGTCAATGAAACCGAAATGAATAAAGGTTTGTAGATGTAGACAAAGACCAATGTAGACAGAAAGCTGCATCTCAGGACTGATGGTACCGTGGAATGGAAATGTCATTAACAGTGGCTTTGCCAGCTGTGTGACAGCCGGTATCAATTCATTCAAAATCCCCTTCGGAGGTACACCAGCATTCCAGGAACGTGAAAATACACGCCAGACCCTTCTGGATCGTCAAGCGTTAGCAACAGCCAGTATGCTTTTACATTCGACCACTAACTTCAAATGGT